AAAAATAAAAACCGCACAAACGATGTTAGACGTAGACGTTAGACCCTCCCCAAAAGTAAGGCAGGTGGTGTTCATTTGAAATGCTAATAACTTTTCGGGGTTAGCTCGGATTAATATCCGGTCTTCAGCCAAGATGTTCCCAATACTCCAAAGGTTCTACATTTTATACACGAAGAAAATTGACCAACTACAGTGCCACCTAGAGCCACGAATGTGAAAGTGGCTCGTTCCCACATATATTCTTCACGCCCTTTGAGCGAGGGGTTCCCGTGAATCAAACGACTTCAAAATTTGACCCCCCCAAACTACCATTCCAGGGGGTGGCGTTAGAAATTCCAGGATTGACCTATTTTGATACACATTGAGGTACTTTATTTGTAAATTTATTAGGAATCCCTTTGGACCCCCCTATGAATTGTAAGCAGCTAATACCTGCTAACCTGCAAGATACACCTCCTTCAAAATAGTGTTAAAAATATAAAAATTGGCGTTAATCCATAAAACAAAGAGATAGCGATTTGATTATTTTTGCAAAAATGTGCATTTTTAAAGCACTTACAACTTTGTAGAACACTAAAATTCAAACAAAAATGTTGAGTTTAGTGGTACCACCGTCCACTTTCACCCTATAACTTCGTTCAACTGCGAGATAGAAAATATTCGTTTTGAACAAAGTTTCTTAAAATGACTGCATCTTCAATGTTTCCATGGATATTCATTAATTTTAATTTAAGAGAAGAGATGACAAAACGGGGGCGAAAATGAACCACTTTTCTGTCAAACGTGAACCAGCTCCTGATTGGCCGATTTCGTGTGCGTAAGATAGAGATAGAGATAGATAAAGATAGAGATAGAGATAGAAATAAAAGAGGAAGAAGCCAATTGTCATCTCTTCCTCTTAGATTTTAATAAGACATAAACAAGTTAGTTTTTATATCTTAGTGTATACCTCCCTGGCTTCGGCAGCACGGAAAACAATTCAATAAAAAATACATTAAATGTTGATTGTTGAATTTTGAATTTAAACATAAAATTTGAAATGGTAAAATTTTAAGAACCTGACGTTTGTTTTTTCCGTGGAGTTTTTTTTAACTATAATCGGTTGCTGATCTTGCCAAAACCAGACCCAGGAGACAATTTCTAGTTCCTCAGTGAGTTCACTAAGACAGAAGAAGCCCTGCATGAGCTGCATTTCATTGTAACTAGTTCAACGTCCCGGTTATTTCCCGCTGAGCAGCTGTTCCGAAGACAAGTAAAATCTCCATGAGGCGTTCCATCATTCAGCCCATCAGCGTTGAACCTGATCATTGGCCACGAAAAGGCTTGCCAATGCACATCAAAAATCCACTAGACATACATCCGAACATTTGTTTATCTCAAATCGACGGAAGACATTCCGCGCAACTACCATAAACCGTACTAGTTCATGCTGATCTTCGTCAAGCTTCGTCTACAATTTGGACTTCTACATCAACACATGTCAAGCAGCCTTCAGGTTATTTTGGCTAAACTTGGTGAGTTCGTTCCATTCTGTAATTTTTTATCTTTTCAAACCAGTAACGTTGGGATATCGCCTTTTTGTGGTGCGTTACTGGTGTAAGATCTAGCACCGAACCCTAGTGGTGACAACTTCAAACTAGGGAATCAGGATTTTCCAGTAAGGTACAGTGGGGTAAGTGGGTAAAGGAAATCGTATTGTTTATGTTTGTTGGGTCATAGCATTTGCAGATTAAAATTAATCAGGTCATGTATATTATAATGATTAGCTTCAAGCGAATCTGTGCAGGCTTACATACTTGATTTTTATACAAAAACATATGGAAAAAAATAACACAACTTTTTGAAAATAGTGTCCGAAATTTTCACTTTATTTCACTAATTTTCACAACTTTATTTCCTTTAATCAAACATGTTTATAACCTGAACTTGTTAAATCTTCTCACGAGAAATGATGGCTGAAAAAACAGATTTCGGCATTTTCACCCCATAATTCTTACGTTGCCATGCTATGACTGCTTTGTCGTAGCTCGGTTTTAGTGGCTTAAACACTGCAAGATCCATCGGCTGGAGCAAATGGCTGGTATGCGGGGGTAGTTTTAGTATGATCACTTGTTCGTTCAGAGCTTTTTCCATAAGTTCAAGCGAAGTATGTGACGAATGTCCATCGTAAATAAGGACAACAGGTCTCGCCTTTGGAATCGCTTTCAAAAACACACGGTCGAAATAGTTCTCAAACGTGGTCGTTTCCATCCATCCATTCTGGGTAGCAGCATAGGACATTCCAGGAAATTCGTCACTACTCTTAGCTGTTCAAGAAATCCCTGTTCCCTTTGAAGATAATCAGTGGTAGCAACTTGTCTCCTGCTGCATTTTCACCTAGCAATACAGAGAAATTTTCTCTGCCCGAACCCGCAGTTACCCTATGCGCCGCAGTTCTCTTTTCTCCAACCACTTTAACTCGGGATGGATCCAAACAGAAACTTTTCTCGTCGAGATTATAGATGCGATGAGATGGAATACCCGTGGTAATTTCCTTGACCATTTTGAAGTACTTTGCTATAACGAACGGATCAACATTTCTTTTTCGAGCAATTTCTACCGCTTGTGGTATCTTTTGGGATAGTCTGTAACGTCGCATAAATCCTCTGAAGAAATCATTTCCCACGACGAAATTTTTAAATGGAGTTTTCAGGCCGCTATCTTTTATATACTGTCCAATCGCCAAGAGGACTTCTTGCTTGGAAAGGCCGAAACCCCATTTCTTCATTGTTTTAATATGTGCGGCTAACTTGGCTTCAATGTTCCATGGGATTGCCGTGTCTCTTCCCAGATTGGAACTCTGCCTCGGTTTGAGACATTTCATGGTTTCTAATAGCCGCCAACGCCTTGAACAAGTTGTGTTTTGGGTAACCCGCACGCGCCGTTTTCCTCCGGTAATTACGAACCATGTTTACCTGGAGAGCAGAAAGAAACTCATTCTCAAATCAGTACGTTTTCACTTGCCCCACCCGCTTTGAAAATTGATGGTGATTTTATTTGACTTTTTTTGTGTCAACACCGATTACCCTCTAGACTTTTGTCGATAAAATGAAGAACTATAAAGAAAACCAACTCACCGATGCACAAGGAAAGTATTTTCGGCATCTTTTTCACAGAAATATATCAAATTAAGTGTACACGCAACCAACTTGTACCGGAGTGAAAGTTGACAGGGAAACAAACTTTTGCTCTTCTTAGCTATAGCGGTTGAATATCGGATGACTTTCACACTGAATGAAATGTTCTGAATGTTTTCGAAGGTTTATGCGTGGAAATAAATGGTACGCTTTCTCACTGAAATATATTTACATATTATTTTCACTTACCCCATTTACCCTCTTGCCCCACGGTACCTTAATCAAAGGATCACATTTTAGTCCTTGTTATTTTATGACTTGATAATAGTGATAAGACTCGGGTAGTGACCATCGCCGTTATGCATTTCTATATGGTATATTTCAAATCTAAAATATTGTTTATGTTCATAGAGTTTACATAATCCTTTTTCCTTTGTCCTTCTCCTTTTTCTTTCCCTCTTCTCTTTTCAGAAAGCCAGTAATGGCGCTATATCCATAAGCCATAAAAGGCTAGGGCAAGAGATAGTGCTCATGTCCCAACCGTCAGAAGAAAATGGAGCATCACTTAACCTTTTTAGCTTTGATGCTTCCAACGACCAACCAATCATATAATTACTAAAAATCGGAACGTACGGTACGAGATGTCCACGTTTCATCCATTTATTGAATTCTGAAGCATCGTGTTTAAATCTTCGATTTAAACAGGCCCGATGTTTTCTGAATTATGTTGTCCCTTAAATGCTACACAGTAGGCCTGGTCGTTTTGAATTTTGATATGTGTGATGCATCTTCGATGTGAAACATTTATCAAATTGACAAGAAAAATGATGGAGGTATATTTATCATTTTCCAGGATGCTTTCAAGAACTGGCTGTGTTGGTGTTAGATTAGATTAGAAGTTCTCAGAACTGCTCCTAATTATACGTAACTTCCCTAAAGAACTTTTAATATCCCTGAATTGTTGGTACATTCTTTAAAATCATACAATTTTCCAGAATTTAATGGAATTTTTCTGATAGTTCCTGATCATTTTCGGAATCTGTGATTTTGATTTTGAAATTTCTTTGAAATTGTTGCAACTTCCATAAAATTCTCAGAACTTTTTGTAGGTTCTTAATAAAACCATAAAATTCACAAAGTTTTCATAAAGTGGTGGCAAGTGTATTAATCTTCCGCAATTTCCTGATGTTAATCCTGCAGTTCTCAAAATAGCTACAAAGTTCACCTTTTTTTTTAAACTTTAGTTACGTTTTCGATGGGTTCTTCTTCGTTCTTGGAGCATCTGTAATGTACCTGTAACTTCTCAGAAGTTATTTAAACGGCCCTGTAGTTCTCAATTTTTCATAACTTTCGTAAAAATCCTAACATTTTTCTGATGGGCTCTGAAGTCAGCAGAACGTCTAATCTACCCTTCTCTAATCAACTCAAGCTTACCTGATGTATTCTAGACTATTTAAGTCTTGGAACCGCCTTGGAAATTTTCTCAAAGCTAATGGAACTGCCCTGAAGATCATCTACAGTGCCGGAAAAAAACAAAGTCAAAACAAGCCTAAAAATCATACCGATAAACCTTGAACAGTTGATCAACCAATCAGCAGCCAACATTACAACAAATTTGATGCACTTCCTGACCAATGGCTTTACTTCGCGTGATCAGAGATTTTATGCCTCAGAAAATCCCACTAGCGCCGCTGCCTTGGGTGGTTAAAATAATGTCCCCTGGAAACTTCCTCTAGGGGAAATTCATTTTAAGTTTCAAATGGAGATTCTTCACGATTTTTCCAAGGAAATATCGTAATCGGGAAATGAACTTCAAAACTCCCACACCCCATTGCCGTTTTGGGGTTTCTCAATAGAATCCTTTCACTAAATCACCAACACTGGTTTTGTCCAATTTGCTTTTATTCACATTACCAGATAATGAGATCAATTTAGTCCAATAATGTCCTACATTGAACGCAGAAGTCACAATTAAGTACCAATATATTATGTATAATAACCATCATCCGTTTTGTTAAAGTTGTTTAATTTGCACATAAACAGTTTCTGATTCGGGTGGGGGACTAGATTGTTTGTAAGTTTCACGAAATGCTTACAATTACAGACACTCCAAACAGAACGCAACTAAAACTCTAGAGCCCAAATTCAGGTGGGTAAGCATATATCGTGGTTCCTTGGTTCCAATTCGTTCGGTGGCTTCGTGTCTGGCGGTTTCAATTTCTTGATATGATTCGTGTCGGGGTGGCTTGCGTGGAGGACGCATGGCCAGCATGCGTCGGAGTCGAAGCGGCAGAGCCACCCACCACGGCAACGGCCGTCACACTCGGTGGGACCTTCAGCTGGCGGATTTCCGGGAAAACTTCCAGCATTAGGATCTCCAGGATGTCGTAGAACAGCTGTTTGTTGTAGGTTGCATTCTGGGCGTTGTCAAACAGCTTCATTATACCGTTGCGGGCGTTCTGGGCACCGATGAGGTTGCAAAGCAAATCCGGGATGTTGTCCAGGAGCAAAGACTTGGCCGCGTTCATGGTCATTTCCTGTTGATCTTCGCTTCGGTCGGTTGATTTGATGGTCAGGACTCCACCGGGCCAGTAGGCTTTCAGAACGGTTGACGCGTAGGTGTGCAGCATCGGTTCCTCGAAGAGATAGCTGATGGATTCCCGTATCTGACGATTGATGGTCTGGCCATAGGTGATCTGAACGAAAGAGATCAGGCTGCGGCGAAGCCACTTGAAGACACCACCCATGTCGAAGATTTCACCGAGCAGGGCATACAGAGGTTCCGCGATCGAGTCCTTGGCATCCGGGTCCTGCTGGGACTTGGCTGAACCATTTTCGGTTGCCGAGCCCTCAAGGTACATTGAAACCTAAAACAACAAATCGAGGTTATGAAGTGCATTTGATCACTTATAGATCACGAGAAGCTTACCTGATCATCATCTGGAAAATCCGCAGTGTTCAACCGGAAATGTGGACCCCAAAACTGGTCCAACTTCTCGCTGTTCGCTTTGAACAGCGTGGCAAATGAAAATTTCGATTGTTTCTTGGAAGGCGAAGGATTCGTGCTTTGCTTCAGTCTATCCGAGCTTGGACTCAAAAATTCGTACAATGCCTCGCTCTGGTTCAAGTGATCGTCTTCCAGGATAAAGTTAAGGTACTTCTGGATCTGTTGCTTCGACTTTTCCAGCAGGGCTTTGTCGTTCTTCAACAGAAACAGCTTGAAGGCGTTGTTCGACGGAAGATCGATCGTCTTCAAATCCGTACACATCAGTCTAAGCTTCCGGTGCAGGTCGTGAAACTGTGCCAGGGATCTGACCACTACCCACCCGGTGGAGATGCTATCTGCAGCATCCATTGCCGTGGCCACATCTTCCTTACCGCAGTCGTTCACTTCGTCCACCTGGACGACGATCATGAACTGTGGTTGAGGTTCTTTGTCGTCGGAGAAATCAACGCTCTCGACTATGGCACGCCATTTCCCGAGGTATTCGCCCCAAACTTCGGTCCTGAGCAGATGAGCTTCTAGTTGACGCTTCTCACCCTTCAACCAGTCGATTTCCTTCTCCAAAATCGACAGCAGCTTTGAGTCGGGTTTCAGCGACTGCTTCAAGGCATCCAGCGCTTGATTCTTGTTGGACAGCTTCTCGTCCAACTGCTCCAGTTTGTTCCGGGCATATGTGGAGTGATTACTCAGATCCATGATCACCGGATCGACATCCCCACTTGCCGACGAGGCATTGGAAGCCGTTTCGTCCTGACTTTCCGTGCTGGAAGATAGATACGTACTCATCGTTATCTCTTTGAAGTCTTCCTGAGTTAGCGAACTCTTCAGCTTGGCGTATTCTTCACTCAGCAGAAACGGTTGATAGTACTTTTCCTCCAGAGTTACCAAGCACTCTCGTTGAACTTCGTAAAATACCTCCGTCCCGCTGTCCCCCACCAAGAACGATTCCATCTTCTTACGAGTGGCCTTATCTACCGGAATCTCTGAATTGGGGCACCTAATGTAGGTATAAAATATTTCAGCACCCAGCTGATGCCACGAATTCTTCTGGGCATGCTTCAGCTCTTCGACCGTCGTGTAGAACCCGACCAATGAAGACGCCTTCAACGGTTCAAGGAAGATCATGAAATGACGTCTCCCGGCTACGGTCGAAAGGATGTCCAGCACCGACAGGTCAACGTCGTTACTCACATTCCCATCCCATCCCAGCTTGGACAAGCACTTTTCGCACTGACTCTTGGCGAACGATAGCTGCTGGATGTACTTTTTCAGCTTCAACGAGGCCGTTATCTCCGCTCTTGATGGTCCACTTTCCGAATCCCCAGCGTTGTTCCTGCAACACAAAAAAAATCCATCAATCCCACTTCCCACCACCATCCCTAAAAACCAATTCTTACCCGCTTCCGCTCTTCCCAACAAACAACTCACTGTCGAACCCTCGGGTCCTCTGCAGATTCTGCATCGTCGTCGCTTGCATGATATCGCTCACGATACTGCCCCGAATCGAATGCAGCTCATCCATCATCTGACTGCCGTTGATCACCTTCAGGAAATCCTCGAAATTCGCCGCGTACTCGTAGCTTCTCTTGTGGATTGCCACCGCAACCAGCTTCGTCTCGATGCACTCTACAATCTGCTGGTTGAAAAAGTCGGGCGAAGTCACCAGCCGAATAACCGGAAACAGCACCTTGTACGAGATGACCTCGCTCAGCAGATCCTTGATCGGCGACAGCGAGTAACCTCGTGGAAGCAGAAAAATGATCATAATCTCGCAAATTTTCTTCAAAAACTCCAATTCCTTTTCCTGCGTTACCAGGTACGAAGAAGTGCCAAACACCGGTTCCGTACCCAGCTCTGCCGCCCGAGCCTGAGCGATTCGGATTTTCTCCAAATGCACCGTCGCCTTGATCACAAAGTCAACCGCAATCATCTTGGGAGCGTCGATGCGGGAAGCTCTCTCGTGCAGTTTCTCGATCCCCAGCCAGATGTCCTCCTTGAGCAGGTCGACGATCCGCCGCGGGTTCGCAACGATCTCCTCCAGGGCTGGGCTGACAATGTCCCGCATGGCATTGCCGATGATCTGCTGCAGCAGACTGTCTACGGTACGACCGAAGATGATCGGCAGATTTGAGGCAGCTTTGGCTGGTGACTGCGGGTCGAAGAGGTGCGATTTGGTTGCATTGTACAGGACGTTGGAAGGCAGGTCCTCCCGGGCGTAGGGACGGCTTTCCTTCGTCGTTAGCTTGTAGTGGACGTAGATGGTACCGAAGATGGCTGCCGGGTGGGACGAGAAAGGGGGGGGATGTTAGGTTAATTAGCTGATCAGGACTATTTGTGGTGGTGAGTTTCCGTGGATAATGCGTGCGAAATGTGCCAAGGAAAATCTTGGTGATACTGGAAAAATAGTTAAATAATGTTCAATGGCAATTTTGCAAATTTTGGCGAAAAAATTCCTGGAAATTCAGACGGAACAATGAACTAGTGACGTGGCATAGATGTAGCACGAGTGGACGCGGTATGCTCAGGACTGAAAACAGGCATCGATGCAGGCGAAGATGAACCCGCTAACGTTGTAGGCGTAGCCGGCGACGGTGTCAGCGTACCTGGCGATTGGTTTGGCAAGTTCCAGGCACCCGACAGGATGTCGAGCGGCAACGAATGCTGATGCGAGGTGGCAGCATTCGACGATCTTCGATCCAAACGATGTACATGACGGCTCCGATCTTTTTGACGACACCAGGAACCCACTTCCAACTGTTTCGACCATAGAGCTTAGCGTATACGGGATCATTTCGGTTGAAGGACCTCGGTTTCTTGCGGTCGTCATTCGTTGGCACTCGGCGATGAACGTGGAAGCTCGAAGCAAGTCCGGATTTTGCGACCGAACATGACCTCGTATGGTGACTTCTGATCCGGTACAGCAAGGTTGGGCGTGCTTCGGTGTGTCAACAAGAAGATATCCAGTGCTTCTTGGATCGACCCTCTCCCCTCTCGAATTTACTTGACGACCCGCTTAAAGGTATCCACGAATCGTTCCGCCTTGCCATTCGATTATGGATGAAAAGAGGCTGTCGTGAAGTGCTGAATGCCATTAGGAGCGCAGAAATCTGCGAATTCGTCGCTAGTAAATTGGGTACCGTTGTCGCTGACTAGAGTAACGGGCATACCCAGCCGAGCAAACAACCCACGTAGGATACTGATGGTCGCAGCAGAGGTGATACGGGTCGTTTGGATGATCCCGGGCCACTTGGAGAACGAATCGATAGCGAGCAGGTTTCGCTTTCGATCGGACCAGCGAAGTCAACGTGAACGCGTTGCCACGGAGCGGTCGGTTTGGGCCACGGCACCGGTGGAGAGTGAGGAGGTGATCTAGCTAGCGAAGTTGACAATGACGGCATCCCAAGCTGAGCCAGTACTCGTAGCTTCTTGCGATGGCCTTCATTCGCTGCCAGTCATGCCTGGATGACCACGATGGAGCTGTTCGAGGCACCGCTTTTGATGCAGCGACGGGATGATGAGTCGTTCGGCAAATAGAATGCACCCATCCGGAGACCCTCTTCCAGGTTGAGGCTCGCAATGACGTAGTCCGCTTCAAGCTTGACGTGCTGGTTGATCAACGGCGAGAGCAGGACTGCATTGCCGAACTTCTCGGTGGACACGTATTCGGTGTCGAAATCGTAGAGCAGCAAGTTGAGAGCTATTCGCAGTGCAGACTAGAATTCCCTTCTTGGAACCAAAGATGTGAAGCAGAGGGCGATGATCGGTCTGTAGCCGAAAGTGCTGTCCGGAGAGCATCTTGTAGAACTTCGTAACGGCGAAGATGATGGCCAAACCTTCACGATCCGACTGACTGTAGCCCTGGATACGTGTTTTTTAAAACATTTATGGTACCGTCGGGGAACCTGTGGCTGATGGTTTCCCCTTGTCCAACGGAAGCAGCGTCAGCAGAAACGATGATCTCCCGCTTCGGGTCGTAGTGTGTGAGTAGAAGATCCGAGAAGAGAATGCTCGAACGCTTTCTGGCTCTCTGGATTCCAGTGAAACTTCGTTTCTGCCTTAATTTTTGAAGAGAAGTATTATGAGCTGGTTTCTCAAACTACAAATGAACTTCAAGACAGTTTAATCAATTTCAGGGAAATTTTGGAAACTTTCGAGTAGTTTTGATGACCTCAGAATATTCCAGGCGATTTTTCCTGAAGATTTACTTGGAGTTCTCCTCGGCCTTTACTTTGTAATTTGTCGAAGTTTACATGGAATTATTCTAGAAAATCTAAAGGTATTTTTCTATAACCCTCCACAGAATTTGCTTTGAACGCTTCTTTGAATTCCTTAAAATTCTTATCAGAATTGACATTGAATTATTTTCTGAATTCCCTATGAAATTCACTCCTTCTCCTCACATTGAAAGATGCATAAGACATTTGCAGTTCTCTTCACAAATTCCTTAGATTTCTCTTCAAAATAGGTTATATTGTCTTTATTAGGGAGGCTTTCAGCCTGGGGCTAGTTCGCCTTCGATTCTCCACCCCCTAGATATTCTCCTAAAATGTACTGCTAAAACACCTACATTCTACAAAAAATGCAGATCTTCTAGCTCCTTGGCACGTGTTCTTATCTCAGCAGAACCCATCATCTTGTAGATATACTATAAAATTCAAAATGTAGAAAATGTGCACAAAATTACAAATTGCTTCAATTTAAAACAGGATTGAGGCTCTCAAACTTTTGCTGCGAAATTTCCTTATCATTCTATCAGCATCAACATCACTCCATCTTAATCTCATTCTAAATATAGCGATGATCACAAAGACCATCACGTGAAGAGCTGCTCTCCAGCTCCATGACACACTCGTGTATTCGACTTGACATGATTTGCATTTTTACGTTACATACAGCCACCCACAATGCTGAACACTGCATCCCGCGCTACGGATGGGGACAAAATCTCACTGCTCCTAATTATAAATATCGATTCCAATTAGAATCACTTTTATCCCTCCCAGGCTTTCCTCGTCAGCCACCCACAACGCACCGCCCCTTTCAAAACTTACCCAAAGCAATCAGAATCAGCGAGTACAGCACAAACAGAAAAATGTACACAAATGGTGGCCAGTAGAGGGCGGTAGCCACCATCACGGTTCCAAACACCCCAATCCAGTAGATTATTCGCATCGTCGATCCGTGGTTCGGTTGCTTCCCTGATGATTGATATTACAAAGTAGCACACAATTTTTCCACCCGTTCACAGCTTCTGTTGCTGCTCAAGGACGTCCAAGGCTCATGATGGCGGCCGCTGCTGGAGTTTCTCTAGTTTCTTGCTCCGGGGAACATTTCGTGGACTGCAGTGCGTTCGATTAACCGGAAATGCTTAAAACTTGCCCGATTCAAAGCTGACAGGATGTAAATTTTCAAATTTTCACTTGCAATATTGAATGGTTTCTTTCTTCTCTGTTCTTGGAATGAAAACTGTACACTTTTCTGTTGTGCTCCTCTGCGAGCAAAAACGCCCCTTTTCTGATTGGAATCGCGAACGGAGCGTGCTGTCATTTGATGGAAAATGTATAATATTTTCCTTTCTTTTTTTGCAACGCTCTCATGGTGGTATTGGTGAGTTGTTGATAAACAAAATACAGTAGAATGAAGAACCGACAGCAAAATAAACAGGTTGCCGGCACTCAGTTGATGGATTGCCACAGGGGTGTGCACCAGAGTTTGACAGTTTGAATATGATCTATTTTTTTTATCGAGGGGTTTCTACACGGACAATCATACCAACTCAGTGACTGAGAATAATTGACTCATAGCGAATTCGTTTATTATCGGGGTTGGAACCAGTTCCAACCCAGTGCGAAACCGAACTTTTTGTCAGTGCGAACCTCAACCTGAGCTGGGGTTTAAAAACAAACGATCAAATTGACGTTTGTCAGAAAACAAGCAGACCCAATCTTGATACCCGATCCAGGTTGGAACTGAATAATAAACGAATTCGCTATCAGATTGGGAGTTCTAACATATTACAGCGAAGGTGTTATAAAATTAAAACCAAACTGTTCACACTGATGGCAAGGTGATATACGATGACAGTTGAGATTTTACGGGAGTTTCAAATGTTGTTTACCAAAAACAAACAAAGTTACAAAGTTGAGAAAATGACTGAAACCATTTCTGAAATTGAGGCGAAAACCTGTTTTGGTTTCCTAAATGTAATTAACGATACCATGGTAAATTTGGATCGAATATTCAAAAACGATATTCTGCGACACCGAAGGTGTCGGAAAATGTATTTAGATAAATTAGAGAAGCTTAAAAGCAGAAGGTTTTACCGCTGCTTGCACTAATATATTATGGTTTTTAGGAAGCGGACCTTACAAATAATGGGTTGTTAAGAACCATTACCGATGAATGTATGTGGGTTCGAAAAAAATATCGCTGTGCTCAGAAAACGAAGCTCTTTCGGATGATTTATTAAAAAACAGTACATTTTTCAAAATTAAAGAACCCAATTCAACGTCACTCCATCGTTTTGCCGATCGCCATATCAACCTCCCCCATCACATCGAAAAAAAGTAAAACCCGAAATGGATTCTGAATCTATTCCGGTTCCTTCCCCTTCCCCGTAGAAAGAAGCCGATACCGTGGAGGTCCCATATTTGATCCTGGACCAGGATGCCACCACTCGCAGACCACCCTTAATCGATTCCGAAAAACAGCTGGAATTCAGATGCCCTGTCCGCATTTTTTCGAATTATTTTGCTTTATAGCGCATTCAAATACCTTCTAAAATAATATCAAAACATGTATGTTTGTTTTAAAAATGAACAGCATGTTTAAAATAAGCACATATATTTTCGTTCTCATAGTTGTCAAATCATTCAAAAATATTCACGTTTATTTTCAACATGAATATTTTAAAAAATAAACGAAGCATTATTTTTATTTTAAACATCGATATCACATGACTTCAAACTTAGAATACACAGCAAAAAAAGTTGTTGAATATTACATCGAAACTGCTGCAACCAGGTCAATCCATCGGTTGTGTAATATCACATTGTACGATGTACATCGATTTTGCGAACAAAATTACATCCATTGATGTAATATTGTATCTGCTTTTTGCTATTACATCATTATTTCATACATCAGCTTGAATTACGTTGATCGATATTACATTTTTTTTTGCTGTGTACGTTATTTTTGTGGCCAGAACAAACTGAGTTTACGTTTAAAATTACCTCAAATATGTTTGTTTCAACGATAAATTTTTCTGCGTGCAGATGGTGATACGACTGCGTAGTGTACCATTGGTGGTGGGCTGGTATGCACTGAACCAAAACACCCGCAATACTTCGAATGATTATTGCATTACTCGAGCCCTTTAACGATATGCATTAGAATTTCGGATGATTTTCTTATGGTTGAATTCGTCGTCAGATGATGAGCATCCATATGACTGTCATCCAAATACATAATGATTTTCGTTTGAAAATTAGCTATAAAACATACGGCACTTAGAGGACAAACAATTAAGAGTAGTGTGACATGCAAGAGCTTTTAAATAGATTTATAATTTGATTATCAACATTTCTATACTGAATAGCCATAATATAATAAGCCATTCCATAATGGATACAAAAATTTTTCGTGGTGGAGGAAACCTCCTCCACCACGAATTAGACAAACATTGGTTTTCGTCCTTTACCTATGTTCGACACAGCTCTGATAGCGATGCATATGCTTCCACCTCGTTTGTCAGCTCAGATCAGCAAATGACATTCGATGGAATTATTTACATCATCGTTTTGAATGATTTGCGTTATGGGGCTAAACCAATACCATATACATTTCGATTTAGTATGACATTCATTCTGCAGAGAGCATTACGCATTTCAACAGAAGGCCCTATCCCTTCTCATAACAATTTTCATCATGTTTTCTAGAGGAAAATCATCTGATTTCAAAACAACCGTCATCCGTTGCAGGTATCATTCGAAAAAGCGATTTCGATGATTTGTTTTGAATGGTCTGAGGTTTCATTCGATCAGAGGATGATGTTTGTGTACAGTGTGGCAATTTTGTGGCTATACACGCTAACCAGCCTAAACACATTAATGTGTAAAATTTCACACATTTCGTGAAAAAAGGGATCTACTCATAAAATGTGTATACTGCGTTTACACATTTATGTGTAAACCCATCAAACGTCAAAATAAGTGTATTTTTTTGCACATTTTTCAAGAACGCAAAATGTGTAAAAAGTAATCATTCAAAGAAATTAAATATGATAAGGACACATGATTTTTTTTATTAATATCGGAGATTTCTTATTTGTGTCAATGATTGAACGGGGTGGGCCAATTACCTTCGATGGACAAACTCAGCTGCGATTCCAGCCCCGGACATCGATGGTGATAAAGTTGCTGTGAGGTGGAACACGGTGTTGTGCTGAAGAATCCAGGGTTGTTCTGTCTTTCAAACACCAATTACGTAACTCGCGACCGGTTAATTAATTAACTACACTTTATTTGAGTGAACATGCAAACAATTTAATTTAAAACACTACATATATTCAGCACTACATATAAAACTTAAATTAACACGAATTAAAATTCCTCCGTGGGTCTCCGCGCGTGCGATTCGGTGACTTGGTTGAGGTGGACTGGTCGCAGCTTCCGAAGATCGCCGTAGGTAGTCCGGTGCTTCGTTGATGCGATGATTTCCTCCGTCGATATCTGAGAGTGGGTGATATTCTCACCGCTCTTATCACTAGTCATCCTTATCACTCCTACAGCAATCGATGACGGTGATGGTCATGATAACGATGATGATGGCTTCGCTCTCTCCAGAGTGAGTGTTCCTGCGTGTGCTGAGAAAACTGATTCGATCGTGCAGGGCTAGATCGACATATCGGTGTGTGGTTCTTGTGCTGCTTTGGTGCTAGTCGCGTGGGGATGCCATGGTTGTAGTCGGATGGGTCACACTCCTCGACAATGATAAAATAAAGATTGATCGGATTTAATAATATTTTATTTAAAAAAAATCACAGCCAGACACCGGACAGTGAAAATCTTAATAAAGATTATTTTTCTATGGCCTAGCTATGAAAATAATATAAATCACTTACCCTCTAGATTGTCCACCGTTGCTGTGTTACAGTTTGGACCGTTTCTCCATTTTTCTGTTAAAATAGCTGAAAGTTTTTCGCTTAGGCAAATGGCGTCCATCAACGAAGCATAAGTTGTTTTTTACCCATTAATGAGTATAAAAATACACATTTTTTTACTAGTACTACATCTCCAAATTTACACATTTTTTGACAGCTGCATATAAATATAAAAAAATGTGTATTTTTTACTCATTAATGTGTTTACGCTGGTTACCGTGTATGGAACTGTTTCCGATGCTCAGGTGCTTCCTTCTGACTACGTCAGTAGTTGACAACAAGGCTACGTTTTGTCGAACCGATAAAAAGGGAACCCGTTAAGGCCCACGCACATTAGATCCGGATCGGACGCGTTACGGCAAAGTGACAGCTAAATCTATAGAGATCTCCAAGCGCAATCTCACGAACACTCAAATTCAACATCCATATATAAAAATGAAGAAGAAGAAGAAGAAGAACAAAAAAGGTATCGCGATATCACAACTACTTAAAAAGGTAGCGCGCGGTCTCACGCACACTTTTGTACATCTGGAGAACTCTATTGCCTATCTGTCAAATTCACACCAACGCAACGCGAACGGATCTAATGTGGGTGGCCCTTTAGCGATTAGTGGCGTCGGATAAGCATCGCAGAACCCTTCAACCCAACACCTGTGACTCCGTGTTACCATTACGCTAAGATCTAAGATTTTCATTCTATATGTGTCATAGTGTGTCATTAATTGAGTTGATACAAGTATTGCACCAAGGAGAGGATACCCGAGCAAAGCTGGAGATCAAATTGAAATCAAAATTTGCTGTTACGATGTAAATTATTCTGAATACTCCAGTTGATCTCATTTTGGTTGACTTAACGGTTAACACAGCAAAAATGAGAGCAAAATTTTACACTGTTAAATCAAATAGACAACTAATCCTGCTTTCAATGAAATCAATTTGATTACTGATTTTGCATTCATAATGTTTAACTGAATATGGGCCTGGCGTAAATGGTTAGCATCCACGCTTCTAACGCTGAAAGACTTGAGCTCAAATCTCATCCCGGGCAAGTCACGAATTACCTAAAATGTATGAAACAAAATACATAAACAATAATCGTTAGTTCAACGACAGATGAACTTAAATTAAATTTTAAACAAGACGTTAACAGCAGAATTTCATGTTAAGTTGCTTTCATTTAAAAAGTTTTGACTGCAAAATGAAAGCACAATATGATATCAGACTTCTGTCGCAAAAATTGAAATCAAAATTAGTTTTCATTATGATATGAGCTTCAAACTTTAATATCGATTTGCTTTCATTTTGTTAACCGACTTTGCTCGGGTAAGCTACCGATTCATGAAGGATGGAACCATTTCTTTG